CGCGGCCTCCCCTTCGCCGGGGCCGCCGGTCCGGTTGGGGTCAAGCGGGCCGCGTGATTCAGGTGTCTTGGTTCGCGCGGCCGGGCCGGGAAGCTCCCGCGACGTGATTTTGTTGCTTCCTGCGCGTCTCCCGGCCCTGCCGCTGTTAATGCCTCCAAGTAAGCGCCTTTGACGCGGACGTGGCCGTACAAGCCTGTTCTCCACCGCCCTCCCAACTGTGAATAATTTAAGTCAACTTTAAACGTGCAGAGCTTGACTGTCCGTGTTTACGGGTCTGTACAGTCCGCTTGTTAAGTGAAGATGCTGTGAGATTCGCGTAGCTTCTACATGTGCTTGTCCTGAGTATCAGTCCTAGGTGTGTACACATAGTAACGCCAAGATACTGCGACTGCACAGTTTCTGTTCTAAGCAATGTATAAATATGATACTTTGTATCGGGGAAACCTAATTTCTGTGTTCTTACCTGTGTGTCATCTAAGTACTTTTTTGTAGAATTTTTTTTTTTTAAGATGTGTGACTCTTAGCATGGTTGCCTTTCCCCACGGACTCTATCTGGATTTACAGACAGACCTAAATTGCCTGATAACTACACCCAAGACACCTGGCAGAAGCTTCATGAGGCAGTGAAAGCCATACAGAGTAGCACCTCCATCAGATACAACCTGGAAGAGCTGTACCAGGTAAGGCTCCATCTACGGCGGGTGGTAGGGCTTGGTAGAACTCTCACTGAGCTGTAAAGCAGTTTCTCAGACAGGGAGACCCTCGAGAGGTGAGGAGGCCAGCATCCTGTCTTCCACTTTCCTGATTGCTTTTTATAGTTGTCTAAACAGCGTGATTATCCACATCCAGTGAAGTGTGACGCAGACATGGATTTCTTGGTCCTCCGTATTGTTTCGGAGCCAACAGTGCAGAAATAGTAGAAATCCAAATGCCTGCCTCCAGCAAGAGCAGTAGGAGTCCTCAGAGTCGGCAGGTGTTTCCAGGTTTTGGTGGTTGTGGGATTTTTATTTTCAGGCTTAAGCTGCCTGGGAAGTACTTAAAGTTAACCCGTTATGGAAGAGGAGTGTTTCTAAGAGCCACATGACTCTTGTCATGTGCGAACGGGTTTTGTCATATTTAATTTAAAATAGTGATGTTCCTTGTCTAACAAGAAAAAATGGTCAAAAGTTTATTCGGGACATTCCAGTTACAAGCAGGTTGGTTTTTCTGATATCTTGTTTTTAAAGGACCACATTCTCTAACCAGTCTAATGTTGTCTACATTTTCGGTAACACTATGATAGCACAGTTTCTTTTCTTCCTTCTTTTTCGGTTTTACTAGGTAGAATTATCCCAGTTTGACTGCACACAAACATGTTGCGTGTAAATACACATACACAGTATACTGCACGTGTTTTTTTAGCTCACATGTATGTACTGATCATTGTTTCTAAGAACAGATTAGAGCTTTAGATTTTTAAACTTACATAGCTGTATGACAGCGCAATTTCTATTACGAGACTTGAGGTTAAACTTTATATTCTGTTTACATGAGTGGTTACATTGTAAAATTCTGGAAACCACAGATAAATGCAAAGAAGAAAATTAAAGTCACCGATACTCCCACCACTGCCAAAGACTGCTACTGACGCTTGATGGCCGTATGTCCCTTCTTTGTCTTACGTTTGTGTGAGTTCGTTGCATTTTTTAAGTAGCTGTATTAAAGTGTGATTTGCATAGGATTTGTACTTCAGCAAGTCTTAGCAGATGTATACAATTGTGTAACCACCACCGCGGTCAAGATGCAGTGTCTCCACCACCCCGTGAAGTTGCCTGCGGCCCCTCTGCATTCATTCGTCCCCTCTCTCCCCGTGCGTGGCAGTTGCTGACCGGCCCTGTGTGTTTGGCTGTTTCCAGGACCTTGTCTGAGTGGAGCTGTGTGCTTTGCAGTCTTCCATACCTGGCTTCTTCCACTTGGGAAGTGCCTATGAGATTGGTGGTGCCTTGTGGCAGGGACTCGTTTCTCTGTTGTTGAGTACTCTGCATTGTCCTGAGTTAATGGATGTCTGGGCTTCTAGCTTGGAGTTGTTCTGAATAAAGCTGCTGAGAACAGTGAAGGATAAGTCTTGTGTGTGGAAAACCCTCATACCTCTTGGGTAGATACCTAGAAGTAGGTTCTCAGGGTCATATGGAAAGTGTGTATTTAACTTTGAAGACATGTCCTAACTGTTTTGAAAGGGCTCCGTCCTACCTTTTTTTTTTTAATTGAAGTATAGTCAGTTACAATGTGTCAGTTCCACCTTTTTTTAAAATTGAAATATAAGTGATTAACAATGTTAATTTCCAGTGTACAGCAAAGTGATTGTTACACATATATATATATTCTTTTTCATATTCTTTTTCTTCAGGTTATTACAAGGTATAGAATATAGTTCCCTGTGCTGTACAGAATGACCTTGTTGTTTATCTGTTTTGTATAGAGTAGTTTGTATCTGCTAATCCCAAACTCCCAGTTTATCCCTGCCCCCTTTCCCCTCTGGCAACCAGTTTGTTTTCTGTGTCTGAGGGCTTCACCATTTGCATCTCTGCCAGCAGTCTGTGAGCGTTCCAGCTGTTTTGAGTCCTTGCCAACATTTGGGATTGTCGGTCTTTTCAGTTTTTGTTATTCTGGTACGTGTGTGGTGGAGTTGCGCTGTGGGCTTCGTCTGCGTTTCCCCTGATGACTTTCAGCATCTTTTCTTATGCTCGTTGCCATTGCAAATACCTTCTTCAGTGAAGTCTGTGTTCACATCTTTTGCTCGTCTTTTAGGATGGTGTTTACTTTCTTATTTCCAAGTGTTTGAGTTTATTATATGTTCTGGGTACAAGTCTTGTATCAGATACTTGCCTTGCAGGTATTCTCTCCCAGTTTGCAGCTGGTCTCTTGATTCTCTTAACTGTGGCTTTCAGAGAGCAGAAGTTTTAAATTGTGATGATTTCTTCGTATCAGTTTGGTACTTTACAGATTGTGCTTTTAGTATCTTTTTGGAAGTCTTTGCCTGATCTGAGGTGTGAAGATTTTCCCTTGTATTTCCTTCTGGACAGTTCAGGGTTTCAGCTTTTACATTTAGGTCTATTGAGGTGAATTTTTGTGTGTGTTGTGAGGTATGAATCGAAGTTGTGTTTTCCCCGTGAATGCCCAGTTGGCCCAGTGCATTTGTTGAGGAGTCTTTCTCCACTGAATTGCCTTTGCTCCTCCATTTCAAGTCACTCCCATGTGCCTGTGGGTGTGAAGTCTCACAGGCTGGAGCTCTTGCCGCCAGCTTTACCCCTTTTCACAGTTGTTTTGGCTATTGTAGGTCCTTTGTATTTCCGTATGAATTTTAGAATCTGTTTGCCAGTTTCTACGCAAGAAGGCACACTAGGATTTTGGTTGGGATCTTGTCAAATTGCAGGTGAGCGCAGGGACAAGCGGGGCCCAGCTGACGGCACGGGGCGCAGCCCGCTGTTTCTGCAGGCCATCCTCCGCTCCCCCACCTGTTTTCTAGTCCCAGGGCATAGGTCTTGCACATCTTTCTTAGATTTCTCTCTGCGGCATTCCGCGTTTTGATGGCATTATAAATGGTGTGTGGATTTGAGTTTCTGGTTCTTGATGGTATACGAGTGATTTTTAGATACTGGTCTTGCAAAGTGTACTTGTTTCTAGTAGCTTTTTATAGATCCCGTTGGATTTTCTGTGCAGACAGTCACGTTGCCTGTGAGCAGAGGTAACGTGACTCTCACTTTCTAGTCTGTGGGCCTTTTGTTACTTTTCTTGCCTGTTGCGCTGTTCAGATCCTCCAGTGTGATGGTTGGTAGAAGAGGCAAAAGCACACATCCTTCTTTTGTTCCTGATCTTAGGAGAAAGCTTGCAGTCTTTAGTCGTGAAGTGTGATACTAGCTACAGATGTTTCAGAATCACCCATGATTGTGCTGAGGAAGTTCCTCTCTGTTCCCAGGTTACCGAGAGTTTTATCAGAAGTACGTGTTGGATTCCGACAGAGTCTTCTGCAGCTGTTGCGGTGGCCATGTGACTTGGTTTTAAGTTTGTAAACGACATTGATTGATTTTTTTAAATGTTAGACCAGTCTTTGACTCTGGCATAAATCATACTGGGTCACGATGCATTATCTTTTTAATGTATTATTGGATTTAATTTGCTAGTGTTTGTTAATTTTTGCATCTATGATCACAAAAGATACTTGTGTATTCATGTAATGTCTGTGTCTCATTTTGGTATCAGAGTGATGCTGGTCTCAGAAACATTCCCTCCTTTTCATTTTCTGGAAGACTTTGTGTAGAATTGGTATTATTTCTTCCTTAAGTGTTTGAGAAAATTCCCCAGTGAAGGCTGCTTGGCTTTCTTGGTGGAAAGATGCTCAACTACAGAGTTCATCAGCAGATGCAGAGTTACTCAGTTTATGCCTGTCTTTGAGTTCTCTCTGATCAGTGACTGCAGCGTCTGATCTGCATGAATACCGTCTGGTGTGATTTTCACTGCGTGCGTCGTTTTCCTCTCTGGGTGTTCAGTGTGAGTCCCTTTTGCATCTTCCCTGTCTCTGCTTGACTTTTTGCAGTGTGCGGAGCACAGTTGTGATAGCTCCTTCTCGCCAGCTCTGATGTCTCTGTCAGTTTCAAGTGGCTTTTGGCTGATTGGTTTTCTCCCCATTAGCAGCTGTCTCCTGCTTTGGTATCTGGCAGTCACTGCCAGGCACTGACTTTGACGTGTGTGGTGGATGCTTCTGTGTTCTTGTTGGTATTCTTGAGCTTTGTTTTGGACTTGGTTAAATTTCTTTGAAACAGTTTGATTTTTCAGAGTCTTGCCTTTAAGGTTTTGTCAAGGGCTGATTGCCCCCAGGACTGAGGTACAACCTTTCTGAACTCTCTACCCAGGGCCCTGCCGTTTTCTCTTCTGGCTGAGGGGAGTGTGTGAGCACCAGACACTGTGTTCTCCAGGCTTTGGGGGGGTTCTTTGCCTGGCCTTGGCAGCTTCTGCACATGTACGTGCCGGTCAGTGCTCTGCAGAATGCGTGGAGGGGATCATTGAGCTCACCTTGCACGTCTCCAGGCTCCTCTCTGGCTGCATCTCTCCTCTCCAGGCCTTCATCTTGCAGATTCGAGCCTCAGCTCAGCGCACCTGCTCTGCAGCCTGGACCCCGGATGTGGGAAGCCAGGGTGCTCAGTGCTGGTCTGTCTCCCGTCTCCCAAGGTCACTGCCTCTCAGAGCCCCACGTGTGGTGCTTTGGAAAGTGTTGCTTCATCTATTATTTTAGGCAGAAGAGTCAGTCCAGTTCCTTTACTTCATCTTGGCCAGAAGCAAGAGTCCCAGGGAAAGCCTGAACTCCCACAGGCCCTGAGCGTAACAGAATGCTGCATCTCACAGCCAGGGCCTGTTAGTCCTCTTTTCCTGGGGGTCTGACTGTCTGGTGTCATTGCCTGTCATCTTTCATAGCAGAGTCACTGCTGGACCTTCTAGCAGCGGTGCACTTCCTGACGGCCACCGTCGATACTGTCGTGAGCAGTGTTTCCCCGGGGGTCCGTGGGTGCCCGTGTGAGTGTCTGGAGACCCCGAGGGCCAGGGATGCCTACCCCACAATGGCAGTACACGTTCCAGGGGTCATCTCAGGAGGGCCCGAGTGTGGGGTCAGTGTGTGTACTTTTGGAGAGCGTGTGCACAGGCAGGCTTCTGGCCACTCGGCAGTGTCAGCAAGTCAGAGGACGTCTTTATGGAGTGAGCCGCTCAGATCTCATGGAAGCGAACCAGACAGAGATAGCAGCTGGTGTCACGGTGACATGACTGACCACACGCTTTGTCCTGGTCTCTGAGGAAGTGGACTGCACTTGACCTGGTGTTTCACAATAAAGCCTGAGCTTTAGCTGAGGTGGTGCAGTGTGTGCTTTGCCAAGAACCTCATGTAGAAGTAATAGTTCTCACCAAAGCTTGGAAGGTGTGTTTGCTTCTGAGGAAGCTTTCAGGATTGTCTGAGGGCATCGGTCTCCCCAGAGCAGGATCTCGCATCTCCGTGTCAGGGGTCCAGGCCTTAGCAGGCCTCCCTATCGGAGGCAGTATTGGAGTGTTCCTGCCCAGGCTGCCTGTTCATGTGTTTGTTTTTGTTTGGTAAGAAGGGAAGTTCAAAGCAGGGTGATGAAAGAGTCTTGACAGACACACACGCGTCCCACCCAGAGTCACTCTCCTCCGGTAATTGGGGGAGGAGGAGATTTTGAACGCACAGGTCTTTTCTGGTTTTGAGAACCTGAGTTCAGATCAGAAATCTCCACTCACTGAAGAAAGTGTCTCTTGTGTGTCTTACGTTTGTATATTTTAGTTCTGCTTGTTCGCTTAATGAGACAACGGAAAACCAAAGGCTGCATGTTTGAGAAGGGCTCCAGGGGCGGGCTAGGTGTTGATCTCAAGCTAGTTTTGATGCACAGAAGCAAACCTGTCACAGAGAACTCGCACTGGGGAAAAGCCATGCTGCTTGCTTTGAGTCACGGAGGAAACGTCTCCAGGAAGTCGTCCTGCCTGGTGAGAACTGAGTGAAGGAGACTGGGGTAGAGTCAGGCACTGACGTATTAATGGGATGGACAAAGTTGATTAGAGAAAGCGGAAAAGTGGAAAAGTTGATTAGAATAGACACACCTATGGACCAATTTGAGAAAGTAAACTGATCGAGAGTGAATTCAATACACAAGTTATTCAAAAACAGAACATTCAGACTCAGATACGTTAGGCCTAATAGAAAGGGTTTTTATGCTTGAGCAGCTCTCGTCATTCGGTGAGCGCAGTGGTTCCTGGTAGGGACTTGCTTCCAGCATGGGGGGCAGGGTGGGGGTCAGAGGTGGCCAGAATGCCGTGGGCTGTCCGTGCCTGCCGAGTTTTCCTAGGAACCCTCCATCTCACGCTTGGTCCCCTCACTCAGACCTGAGTCCTCGTTTTTCTTTTATGTTGCTCTTTACTCATTTCTCATGGGGGGGAGTCTGGGGGGCGGGGCGAGCCTGGGGGCAGCTTCTCCCCGTGTGGTGAGCGTGTCCCATTTAAGCAGGCCTGCCTCTGCGCAGGGTCCACTTTCACGGCTGTTTATTGCTGAACAGGGGCCCCCGGCTGCTGGAGGCCCCCGCCCAGCCCGACTCCAGGTCTGTCAGAAGGACGAAGCTGAGGGAGTGCACTTTGCCTTGTGCCCCAGCCGGGCTCTGTCTCTGTAATAGTCCCCGGGAACTGCGGGGAGGGGTGTTTTTTATTTTTCCCCTTTGTTTACATACACGACTCCTAGGACTTGTCTGCCTTTTTCTTCCCGACTTCTCACTCTGAGATGTTTCACTCCTCCTCCTCCTCTCTAATACCAGCTGTGGCCTTAAGGACCGCTACCCGGACGGGCCTCTCCCAGACCTGTTGGGCCCACACCGTGTGGCTGCTGGTGTTTGCCCACAGCTCCTTTCTGGTCCTGTCTGGGTCCCCGCCTGCAGGACGTGTGCCCGGTGAGGGTGGATGCTGCCCAACACAGATACGTGGGCGCGGTGCCCTGCAAGCGTGCTGATTAGAGACCTGCGTGGTGGGAGGGCGGCCCAGACACGGAGGACGGCATCCTTACCCTAACGCGAGTAGGGCCTGGGGCTGCTCCTCTCCAGTGCCTGGACTAGTCAGGCTGCTTTCACTGCGATGACTCAGCCAAGCCACCCAACACAGGAGGGGGGCACTCCCCTCTCCCAGAGGAGGGGCTCCCACTGCTCCCCACCAGGACAGAACGGCCTGCCACTCCCTGCCATGCCAGCAGAGAGCGGCCGCCCTGCCTCCAGAGGTGACCAGGTGCCTGTAACACGAGACAACAGCAGTGACTCAGCAGGACACACGCCCACAGCAAGCCTGGTTCCCTGGCTCTGCCTGGCTGCTTTAAGAGGTCCCCAGATTCTCCACTTGAAAAACAAATCTCACTGGGCTTCATGTAAATAGTAAGCGTGTGCCAAGTAGGGCGTATAGGAGAAAGGGCTGGTAACTGAGTTCAGTGGTGACCGGTCACAGCTGGAGGAGCTCATTCTCGTGACGCTGACGCCCGGTTCAGGAGTCAGAGTGTTCAGAGCGGGCCTGGCGGGGTGCTGTTCTGTGAGGGACACCTGCTCCAGGCCTATCTTGGTGTCTACCAAAGAAAATGTATTTTCTTCCTGTACTGAAAACTTACTTCGTAATAATTAAGTTTGTAATGATTACTGGAGCAGAAGCCTCTGTGGTGAAGTTATCTTGGGTTTTTTTGTGTTTTTTTTTTTTTGAGGAAAAAACACAGTGGATCTTTGAATTATACAAAGAGTTTGAGAAAAGAATCGAAGGATATAAAACAAAATGTTAATAGGAATCCCATATTCTGTAGTCAGACAGATGTAGAGGGAAGGTATTTTTATTTTTTAAGTTACTATTTCATGTTCTCTTTAAAATTTTTTTTTTTTACTTTTGAGGGGAGGTAATTAGGTTTATTTATTTATTTTTAGAGGAAGTACTGGGGATTGAACCCAGGTCCTCGTGCGTGCTAATAAGGACGTGCTCTGCCACTTGAACTGTATACCCTCCCCCACTTCCGTGTTCTCTTTTGAATTTTATAAATACGCCTGTGTTTTATATGGTAGTAATTGCTATATTTCTTCACAGTGGTTGCTTTTTTACTATCTTTATAAAAATTTAAGTTGCCCTTTTATCACCAGGCAGTGTAGTATTTGAGCTGAGATTCTAAAGTGTCTTCATTCTATATATAACCCATACTTTTAAAAATAGTTTAAAAATAGGCAATAGAAAAACCACGTTTCTGTTTATAGTGTTTCCTACTTGCACTGAATAAGATTCTGGTTTTGTGCTTGAGATTTGAAAGAAAATTTTATTAGAATTGGTAAGAATGTACAAACATTTCTTTAATGTGGATACAATTTATGAAAACTATTTCCTCCTCACAACCTTGTTTCTTAGTTTTTGGTGAACTTGCCTGTGCGCCTGGCTCTCGCGGCGTTGCACCTTCAGCTCGGTTTAGACGGAGTCATCACGCTCGTAAGAGTGAAAGACTCTGGAATGCCCGGTGTTCTCCCCCGTTGGCAGGTGGATGCCGAGGCTCTGGAGCAGGGACCTCCTGCCCTGGGGTCACGCTGTCGTCAGCAGGGCACACTCCCACCCGCTCCCCCTGCCCCGCAGGCTCGGGAGTCGTGTCCTCAGGCACTGGCGTGCCGGGGTGGAGACTGGCACCCGGATAACGTGGAGGGTCGTGAGACACCCACGCCGGGGCCACGTGGGTCCTGCTGTCGGACCTGTGTGCAGTGGGAGCCCAGTATGGACCGTTTTTACCAAACCACGTGGATTCCAGCATTCCACCAGTGACTGCCCTAAACTTAACATAGTCATTTATTTGTAGGTTACAAGTGTGGGGGTTGTCTTTCTGTAAAGAATATAGCGATTTATCCAAGTAGATTTTTAAAGAACTGATTTGTTATAGTGAATAATTCATTTATTCCTTTTTGTTTCAGGCTGTTGAAAATCTTTGTTCTCACAAAGTTTCGCCAACACTCTACCAGCAGCTGCGCCAGGTCTGTGAAGCTCACGTCCAAGCACAAATTCTTCAGTTTCGAGAATATCCTTTTTTGGCTTGTGAGGTTCCTATTCATCACCTCAATCTTTTCAAACTGAACATCAGTAGAATAAAGAGCTACTGAGTATTTTTAATACTAAAATGACAGCTTTTAACATTCCTTTTTATTTATTACAGGATTGTATCATACGACCCAATGTAACAGATCTTTTAAGTGGAATTTTTACCATTTAAATTACTTTGCTGATTTGATTAAAATGAAAATGTCAATTTATTGGGTCTGGTTTGAAGAATTTAGGAAAAGTTTTGAAAAATAACTAGAAGTTTGAGTTCTGCTATTCTTTATTCTTTTTTTTTTTTAAACTCCTCATTAGTTCTTCTATGAGGTTCGTAACCGCCTTCCCAACAAACTCGGAGACGGAAAGGGACGAGGGGAGGCTGCAGGGAGGCGGAGGGG